GACACCAGATTAGCTTCTCCAATGATAATTTTTTATGCTAAAAAAATTATTAGTCCCTAAAGCAGTAAGAGCAACCCTGACCTCCACTGTTTTCTTCCACACAAACCCATTCATTCAGGCATCAGTTGTTTGTTGTAGGTATCTGCCAGTTGCAGACATTGCTTGTTCCTGTACTTCTTGGCACTGCTTTTTGTATTTGATTGAGCAGTGTTTTGTGCCTAATTGATGTAAAGCATTTGAATTATGGTTTGTGGAGGAAAGAACTGAATGAAGAATATTGGATTGATGCTACCACCTCTTTACATCTTGTCTTTTTTCACCTTGTTTGTCCAAACGTGAAAACACAATTCCAGTTAAATTCTGCACAACCTGAACCACAGCTTGAATGACATCTTACCAAGCCTGCACATACAACCAGTGGCAGCACAGACTAAAAGAGCTGTTGGACTTAGAGGTTCTTATGATAAAACACTGAAATACTCTATACACATAAAACAGCTGAATTAAGATTGCTATGAGACCTTTAACTTCAGATTTACTCCCTAGCTTGTACAAATCTCAACTGTAAACAGTTTAAGTGCCTAGTTATAGGGCAATTAGAGTATTCTACTTCTTTTACTATACTATCACATTACCTTGTAACTTGGTTACTATATTGTAGCAGGCTAAAATAGCACTTTGAATAAATCTCAATTAAGGTGGCAAGTGGGTTTTATATTTTTCCCTGTTGGGGGCTGGGGGGGTGGGGAGCAGAGAACCAGACCTGTTTGAAACAATTCATTTTCTGGGTGGAAGTTACCATGCTCTCTCTCCTTAAAGGAAAGTAATTTTTGAGCAGCTAAAATGGCTTTAGCTGATCACAGGCAGCTGAGGAAAGTGGAATACAGTTCTTGCACTGTACAGTTACAGTGCAAACTACGTCTGCTTTTAAGCTTTAAAAATCCGTAACATTGACAGAGTTGGATAAAGAGCTATGAAATAACTCAAATATCTGCAATATTTTTGAGGTACAAAAATAGTTCTTAAAAAAAAAAGAAAGCAGCCCTATCCAAACTACAGGTTCTTAATAGATGCTTAATTATAAAAAGTTTGAACAGACCTAGAGGAACACGATCAGTTGCTTCAAGAACTCATTAGTAACACTTGTCAGAAGGTAAGGAAAAATCTTTTTAAAGTATGACACTTTTCTTCAAATTATTACTATTTGGGTAAGATGCAAAGATGATTATTTTTTGTAGCTTACCAAACTTTTATTTGAAATAAAAACCTGAAGTCTAACTTAAAATGCTAAGTTATATAATGAAGATTTTACCAGAGTTATGAGCCTTCTTGGTCACTTATTTAAGATGAGGGTTAAGGGCAGAGAAGAATAGAGCAGCACACAGGTACACAGTGGCCAGGATAAGCACATTATTAGAACTACAGCAGTACCACAAAACATGTGGAGACAGCTGAATAGTAAGGAACTAGAGAGAGGACCTAAGGGTGCACAGGCAATGGCTGTTGGCTTCTCCACCTGCACAATGGATGACTCAAGGTTTTAAATTAGCCCTTGGGAGGTAGGGAAAGAGACAGGGCTGGTACATTTGCACTCTGGAAAACTGTCCTGTTTGCAGCTTCCTGAAACAAGGTCTTCAGCTATCATGTACATATAGTGGCTCAAGCTTGTACACTGCCTATAATGATCTCTACACCACCCTGAACCAGCAATTAAACCAAGTCTGTTGTGCTCCACTGTTCTCAGTTCTCCTGTTGGTTACCCCCTCCTTTGCAGCTTAACCTGCCCAGACATTCTCCACCCACAAAGCCAACTAGAAGAGGAGCCAGAACGTAACTGGTATTTCATTATTTCAGCTACTGTTTGGCATCCTTTTCATGTCCTAGCAAATGCAAGAGAGATCTTCAGCTATATGTACACCAGCGTAGCCTCTTCATCAACAGTGGCACCCCAGCTGAAGATTTGACCCAAGCTAGGAAGCTAGCTAAAAACAGGTATACATTACAACAAGTAGGAACAAAAAGTGAATGGAGATCCTCCATCTGAATGTTATAGCATTACTATGAAAGAACCCTTTCTGGCAGCTTCTTTAAATGTGCTACGTATTGCACTAACTTCTTCAGGTATTCAACAGGTAAGTCTTATTAAAAAAACTCTGTTAAACTGAATCTCTTACAGAACATTTTTTTCTTAGCATTTTACAGAACAAAATTAGAACTAGCTTTTTCAAGCAACTTAAATTCAAGGGGGTTTTTATGCAATCACATTTATATCATTAGCTAACATTATTTTTCCTGTTAATAAATTTTCCTCCCTTCCAGTTCAGAAAGAAATGCTCTTACAAGCACTTAATAGAATAATGATACAAGAAGTAGAAAAGCGCAAAAAAAAAAAAAGTAGAAAACCTGCACTACTTTTCTATAAAATAAAAAGCAGTTCTCATAGGCTGGAATACTTAGTGGCAACAAATAAAATCTCATTAGCACCTATTCTACTCTTTATTCGAAGACTATCATAAGAGTCACTCTAATTTTCCCTTACAATACAGACAATGTTAGAGACCAGCTCCTGCTAATGATTCAGACCATAATCAGATGGAGGGGAAAAAAAACCCCAAAACACCCCCACACCACACCAGAACAGGAAAAAAAGGAAAAAAAAAGAAATTCCTACCTTTATGATGTTGCAGTCAAAGAGAACATAAGCACATTAGCTGGGAAGAGGCATTACGCTCACTACTTTGACAAAGGTAAACACGCCCTATCTACAGAACTCTTTCAAATTCTTCGGAGACCCACCCAGCAAAGCTGCACTTCAAGATTTCTGACTGAAGGCAATCCTGATGTCATGTGTATCTACCTGGTGAAACTCAGGAGTCGTAATGCCAAGTGCCTTCCCTTGTGCTTGTTTCAACATAGTAGATGAAGAAATGTATGAAGTCACGTGGTATTTTGTTGCACGGTGAGAATTCGTCTTATATTGCTCTATACATGCACAGGAGGATGCTGTGCCTACTGATTGTGCTGAAAAAAGGAAGCCCCAAATGCATCACTTCACACTGACATTTTTAGATGCATTATTAGATGAAGTATGGGTTTTCAAATAAAGTTGGAGAAAGGTTTCTGCTCCTATTCACCAGCCTCAGGAATACTTCCAGCCTCAATCAACTAGATGTTTTACAGAAAGTGTTCCAGTTACTTAGAAGATAAAAAGTGGGATTTTTGAAATTCCCAAAGCAGAGGGAAACATACACTGACTGTATGTTTGGTTAGAGATACTATACAAACATGTAAATTTTACTTAACCCTATGTGATTTTTTTTTTTTTTTTTTTTTTTTTAATTCCATGACTAAGACTGAAAGTCATTCCTCACCAGCTCTCCCCAGTTTCAAATAAGTGACAGCATTCAGAAGCGTTGGCATTACTTAGCATTCGGGTGGGCAGGACACTTTAGTGTTGTCAGAGAGGAAAGAAAAAACCTCACTGACGAGCCAGGAGCGGAGAACCTCTTATTAGCCCATTCTTCCTGCTTGCAGTCAGCAAAGAGCAGCCCACAAAATAGGAACAGACATGTCAAAGTTGAACCAAAGTTTCACCTCACCCAGCATACTGTCTGTGAAGGAAGCTAAGAGCAGATTGCTACAGAAGACTGCAAGAACAGAATAAACACAAAATAGTAACTGATGACACCCCCAACCTTCAGTAATTTGAGGCTCTGACTTCCTAAACCACAGATGGTGTCTACATAAATAACACTGGAGAGGTTTCCCCCCGCAGCCTTAATTTCCACAACTCCTTTTGAGTATATGAAACTTTCATCGTAATCCATAAGACTACAATAAAAGAAGATGCAACCCAGGCAATATTTGGATCCTGCTCATTTATTTCCCTCCAGAGAAAAGTTTGGTTTTGTTCATATAGCTTTTTTTTTTTTCTTTTTGAGGCATTATATTTTGCAGCTATTGCAAGTCTTCAGTCCTTCCATAAAAGTGGGAGCAGTACTCAATAAACTGATGCACCAGAGAAATATTAAACATGAAGGATTATTTCAGAAAGGTAGTATTATGGCTTTGCTGTTGCTTAAATTATCTCCGTGCTTTCCCACATCTGAACCACTAGCATGAACCAAGCAGAACATTTAGGAACACTTTGCCAATTAGCAAAGCCTAGAGCAAGCTGATTCACTTGGCTAATACTGTGCCAGTAATGTAATAGGTAATTGGCAGAAACACCTTTCTTATGCCTCAATCCACGATTTCTTCACTATTACACTACATTGCAAAAAACACATTTGTTTGACTGGAGCAAATGTGGAGCTGCTACAAATAATAAAATGGAAAAAAAAATGTTTTTACATACTTCTTGAGGAGCATTTGTTAGGTAGCACTCAACGCCTACATAGGACTATCACACGATTAAAAATATTGCATGGTAAATAACAAGCTAACCATACTCTCTCGATCAAAGCTGCCCACTGACCTTTCAATTATTGCTGCACTTTCACAGTACTTATCCTTCAGGTATCTTAAATTTGAATGCTGCAAAAAAGAAAACCAAACAAAAATAAAAAGCCACCACCACCTTAGTCTGTAGGGCTCACTGAGGAAAAAAAAAAACCCACCACCCTAGGTGTTACTACTCCTTACTTGTAGCATAACACCTACTCCATCATACAACAATTGAATATAACCAGATAAGAGGCACATATTTGACCCAAATAATTATTTGACATATCACTGGAAATTACGTATAAGTTTTCAGTGAAAAACAATATTAGAACAAAACAAGAAAAAAAAAAAAAATCACAAAATTAACTTCTTCCTGTTTTCCAGCCAGTTAAACACATATATTAAATTACAGTGAATCCACACAGTGGATGTGAGCTTTCACCTGAGCTTCTAAGCAGTTACATAAGAAAGATTATAGTATTAGTTAACTTTCTCAGTAAAGAAAACCCTCTTAGCAAATCTTTGAGACTGTATTAAATCTTAAAACCTCTAGAATCAGAGCTGTTGTGTATGATGGCACCTGCAGGGGGAAGAAGAGAAAAAAACACCAACAAATCTCCAAACAAAAGGGTTTCTTTTATTTTCCTTTATTAAAAAAAAATTAAAATTTGTCTGGGGAACCAACAGATAAATGTTCTAAACATATTGCCTATTAGTACCTAGTAATTTTTGCTAACTGATTATCTTTTCAATGGCAGACAGGTAATCAGATCTCAGTCACATCCATACACAGAGAAAAAGTAGGAATAAATTTGATCAATTTGATCAAATAGTAATAATTTGGACTCAATTCTCTTTTCACCACCAGTGAAACCCATCTGCTTGCTATCTGGCATTCCTTCAAGATCAAGATAAAAAAACCTTGATATTCCTATACTTTGTGCTCCTCAAGAATCAATAAATATCTGAAAATGAATCATTCCAAGTCCCACATTCAAGGACATCAATATCGTAACTCATAATCTTGCCATCTGTCATTTAAAAGCTAAGCTCCTCTTCTTCACATGAATTCATATCTTCTCCTAATATACCAACCTTCCCCTACATAAAAGGGATGAAGAAGTCCACTTAAAATCTCTCAAAAAGCTTTCTTCTCAAGACCTTTCTTGGTCTTCGAAGTATGACCTGATCGATAATCCATACAGGGTTTTTAAGTAAGGAGAGATTCATTACTAATTAATAATGCCATCTGTCATAACTGAAGACTAGATACCTGATTTTGAACAGAGCAAGCATTAAGGTAATAAATAGTTATCATACATGAATACCTCTGCAGGACTAAATCAGGAATACACACAATTTGAACACATAGGCTGAAATCTTCAAAATGCTTAAATCTTTTAAAATTATTGTTTCAGAACTTGGTTCCTGTGAATTTTAATAAGAAATGGAAAACTCAATACTTTGAGAATCTGGCCCTTAATAACAAGAAGGAAGATGACAATTGGATAAAAAGAGGATGTCAGTGGTAATACTGGAAAGATAAAGACAGTGGAGGGAAGTGAAGGAACACTAACACACTCTACTGCTGACCCAAGCCACCATCACTTCACTAAAATGCAGAGAACAGGATTATTGATAGGCTTCAAATATGCCTTAGGAAAAAGGCTCCAGGAAAAGACATTGACATTCCCTGGGGACTGCTTTCTAACCAATTTCTCTTGCACACTTAACAATTGAGGGATATAAATACCACAGTTATGATCTCTCTTTCAAGCTGTTACAAACTCTTGGCTGTATTTCATTTAAATACTGAATATACAGCGTACCAATAAGCTTCCAGGACAGCAATTAAGAACACTCTCATATCCAGAGGCACAGCACAGAGGTGTATGTGTGATTTAATGAAGAATTCATCTGGTTACAGTTTGGTCAGCATTCTTGATGCAAAATCCTAGTCTGTTTTGTCTTTAAATTATCCTTGGTGAGATTTTTTTTTTTCCCCTTGATTTAGCATCAACCTGTCCATACTTGTCAAATTCACCTTTCTAATAACCAGAAACACTGGAGCAATTCAAGTATAACCGCATATCTATATAAGGTACTTTCACTACATATGTTCTAATATGTTTGAAAAGGTAAATTTAGCAAGAAGAGTAACTGGTTGCTCATGTTTATAGCGAGCAGTGTGTTAAAACGTGCATGCTACTCACAAAATCTTAGCAAGAACAACTGCATCTAAGGATTGACTTCTATTGTTCACCCTTTCCACTCCAAACACAGCACTGCTAATTCACTCAAATAATACTCCCAATGTGCTATTCCCATCTTAAGATGCAGGAGACTAATACACAAAATCTTCTGGCTGCAACACTAGACATTTAACAATTAGTCCAACCAATTCTTTCAGAGAGTTTTTTAATTCGTTTCCAACAGTCCAAATAACATAGGATTAAAAAGATGTCTTGTTGATCCTTGGAGCTGGAAGCACTGGTTTAACAGCTGTATGAAAATAAACCTCAACAATTTGTAACACTTGCACATAAGACAACGCTGCAAATGTTGTTTGATTACATTACTAGAAGACTATTAGAGCATCAATCTTTATCCATCCACAGAGAACACAAGTGCAAAATATGAGCATGTGCTTGGTGAAACTGAAAGGCAATCCCTTTGATGCTTCACACCCAGCAATTTCCCCCTCTGCATCAGCTCATAATTGAAAATTACAGAAAACACTGGCATCATACTGGTCAGTATTTTTAGCTTAGGTGAAGCAGCACTCCTTCAGAGGGACCAATATTCTGTTGAAAATGATCAAGTACTAGATACTCCCTTGAGGAGATAAACAATTAAAAAAAACCACAAACCCAAAACTCATGGTTGAGTTTTACATTTGCTGCATAATGGATCTTTGCCTAATTCTCACAGCAGCTGTAGTGGTGTCAGCAGAAAGAGAACACCATTTCATACCTGATTTTCTTGAAGAATGTAAATACTATCAAGGAAGCCAAGTACTTTAGATAAGTTTTCAGAAAGCATTAGCTTTTTTGTTTCAGTTAAATCCCTACATGAAATAGCTATAAAAGGTCTGTAGTAACAAAATTATTTTAAGAGCTGACAAACTCCAAAAGATTACATTTGAAGATAAAGCTAGCAAGCGAAGGATGAACATTGTGAATGTGGAAATAAGCACACTGGATTTTGTAATTTGACAAATCTTTTTTACTTAATCAGTGCATGCTGTTTTGCCAAATAGGCTTCAAAATCTTATCCGTTGTTTCTTATGCAGCTATTACTTCCTTCAAAGTAGCTATGGACATTTGGAAGCTCTTTGACGCTCCACAGAACATCTTTCAGGTTTCAACTCTCTAGCACCAGGACGAAATGAGGCAGATTCTTGGACAACTACGATTAGCAGCTAGAACTCCTAACATAGTTTCAGGATATGTACATACAAAACTCCCCTACAACCTTTTAAGGAAGCCAATATTCAGCAGTGCATTTACTTTTGAGGTTGAGCGTGCTACTTTTTCGAGCATTTCACATTTTTTTCAAATCTTCCCCCTGAAAAGACACCACTGACTGACAAAACCCATGTTTTGCAGCAGAGGTAAGTAGGAACCAGAAATAACTTAAGGATATTGCAATTCTCCATGCAAGCTTTTTACCACAAAATATATTGTTGTATTCCTTCCTTCCTTGCTGTATGAAAACCAAGCCAGCTTGTCTATTAAAGAGTGTCTCTGACAGTTATCAGCAGTAAACTCATTTAAAAAGACAATGACGTGGAAAAGCTTAAATACCTGAGATGTTTCTCAACCAAGTCCATGTCCATGCCTGCTGTCGACCTAACAACCAAAAGACTGCCTATCATCCATTCTGACACATACAATTGGCTTCTAACAGGATTTCAGAGTGAACCAGGTAGCCTATAAGAGTTGTACAAAATACAACAAGATTTTACAAATTCATTTGGACAACTCTTCAAGGGAAAATACACAGAAGTAAAACTGTAATGACCACAGTATTTTCACTCCTACTGACACTGAAACACTGTAATAAATACTTGATACTGACATCAGACACCATCTCAGACTGACTTTGGAAAAACTACAAATGATGCTTATCCTGCAGTGATAAACCAGGGAACAACCAAGGTTCCTTATTCCCAGCTTTACAAGAGTATCATAAGTATAGAAATTCTCAGGGTTGACTTTTATTCTTGTATTACAGGATTAAAACTCGTATTACAAGTCTTAAAACTCGAGTGGAAAGCAGTCATAAAAATATTGGAGGAAATCCAGTTTGAAGAACCACAAGCATGGAACCACCTGGATTCAGCTGTAATTGCAATCAAGCTCTACAAATATTAAAGTTCAAAACTATTCTTTTTAAAAAGCACATCCTGTAAGCAATTTCTAGTGCTAACTGCTTACCTCATTAAAGCATAATTTATTCTGTTGATATTGAAGGTAAAACTCCTCAAAACAACTGCACAGACATAGATGGAGACTGTGGACATTTCAGGATAAGTGCTCTGACAGAAAACTATTCTCCAGACAAGTCACCTGGTTTTTTCTGTGTCTTGCTTTGAAATAATACAAGAAAAGTTGTTAGATATCAATATCCAAAGGTGAGGCACATCAACCTCTTAGTAATAACTGATCTACTTCCTAAGTTCTAATTTAACATTGGTAATAGGGTCTGCAGCTGAGCTAATTTTCTCTAGCAAATGAAATAACAGCTCTGCCTAAAAATTTTAGATAGTAAAAACTGAAGCAAAAAAACCAAACAAAACAACCCCAAAACAAACCAACCCCAGCAACCCCAACTTATATACTCAGCAATGGATTAAAATACAAGTTCATTTGCAAGGTGTTTTCTTTGTGCTAGACTTTTTGAATATAGCCATAGAACCACTAGCTACCTTCATTCCTCACACTCATTTTGCATGCAATAAAAAAAAAGTTGACTCACATCAGTTTTACTGTCTCGGGTCCTACAGTTCATAAATGGTAAAATATCAACACATTAAGGTATCTAGTTGCCAGATACAAACCACATTTACCCATTTTTACCACTAAAACATTCTGAGAATTAAAACAATGGCTTTCTGAGAAGTGAAACATGTGGGAATGATCACTACTAATAACCAACTGGGCACACAATCAACTTCATGCCTGTAAGAATTAAATACAGTTGGATTGCAATTGGATTTGCTGTATTAAAAAATCAAAAGTTATGGCTCCTACACTTCTTGCTAAATGCAACACACTGTTCTGAGATTTCTAAACTTTTACTTCAAGAAAGTTTTTACAGTTGTTATCACTGTCAAAGAAGACGACTAGCACTCAACAAAACTGAAATTATCTCTCCATTCTACCTATCCCACACTGCTTATCAGTGTCTGAGAAGTACTGTTGTAATTTAGATACTTCCAACTCGCAAAGTATAGACTAAGAAATGCTGAACAATACTATGTTCAGTGAAAACAATGAAGTTACTCAGTTAAAATAAACTAGTCAGCAAAGGGTAGATTAAGAGTGAGGATAGTGGAAAGGATTTCACTGAAATGTAAGTACCTACCTAACTTTAAAATTGCGATATTGAGAAACTCTTGCTCAACTGCCTTGCCAAAGGCACTTCCTTTGTTTGAACCGAAAAGTTCCCAAGTTGTCTAGAGTTGCATCTTTGAACATGCCCAGAGACATTTCAGTCCTGACAGAAATGAGCAACTCAGCATCTAGAGCATAACCAAATTCAAACAGTAAAGAGAAACCAGCATTATTCTGCCCTGGACAACTCAGAGGTTAGTTTTTAACTAAAATAACTATAAGCATGAATGGAAAAGTTTCCATTCATTGACATTCTCACCCACTTCTACACACAAAAGTTCTCAGGAAGAAACCAAAGCACAACAAACACACAGACTATTCAGATCTCCTACATGCCAGTGAAGGGGATCACTCTTTCCTATATAACTGCCAAGTGATTACAGCTGTCATCCTGAAAGAATAAGACTGAGGTTCAAACCTTCCTGTCTGAGAATTCATACCATGCAAGTGTCTCTGGAGAGCACTGTAATTTCCAGCTAAATTATCCCATAAGCTTAACCTAGGTTTCTTCCCCTCCCAATAGTGTCAATTGACCAGTTCAGAGCTCAAGACTGATCTAGAAGACAGTCACAGAGATTGGGGGTCAGCCACCTGCTCCAGAGACTGTTTGTCTTAACTCAGTATGTATTTTAACACTAAGTAGCTATTTAAAAGGAAGATAGAACTTACTTGGCTCTCAATCAGAATAGAGCACTTACCTTCAAGAGATGATCCTAACAGGAAAACTGCTTCTTACAGTTCTGATGAGGTCTGAGATTTCTACAGTAGTCCCCGTCGTCAGTACTTTCCCATTGCCTAACACTTGTAAGATCATTACAAGCTGCACGTTAAGTGTACCAACATTAGGTGGCTTCCTGCTAAATGCACACACTGGTTTGGATCCTGTTCTGAAATAACTTTCTCTAGTAAGAATTCACTATCCATCTCACTGCACTGCAGACACTTATTTCTACTTATCTGTTTCTGATTTAACAAATTTATTAAGTATTTATAAAATACATAATGGATGCAAGGAATTCTGTTGAAATTTCACTTCTGCATTACCTAAGCTTGATTTTAGATATAACGCTCCACTAAAATCTTCTATAAATAAGCAATATACGCATCAGTCTCATATATACCTTTCCCTTTAATTGAAAGAATATACCATAAAATACTGCGAAAAACTAAATTCAATTTTCAGTGAAATGTTAATACTGCTGATTAAATCAGGTAAACAGTAAAAGCTAAAAAAAGTACATCCTAGACGTCAATTAAGCACTTCAGCAAAGAAAAGCGTGGCACGGATTATTGTGATTGTGGCAGCACATCTGAATATCCACTTAGAGCAAAGCACCGATGGCAGAACACAGAGTATAAACACCAAAACTGTCCCCAACTAAAATATTTTATTTAGCTCAACCTCTGAGCAGTCAAGCATTGCATTAACGCTGCACTGCTCTCCATAAATCACTACCAATCTGGCAATGACTTCATATATAGAGTGACATTAAGTATAATTGACAATACTTTAAGTATTATATATTGTTGATATGCTTTCACATTAGTCATTTATTATCAAATTTTGAATACCTAACAATTAATCCTTATATACCATACACTGACATACATACCATGAATAAGCTTAGGACCCTAAGGTAATGGTTCATATCACTGAATTCAATTGCAGATTTTTAAGGTGTCAACCAAAAACACGTTTATCCTGTTGCAAGTTAAATAAGCTGACAGGTGCAAGAGGCATGAGCTTTAGAAGTCATTAATCTTATGGAAACATTCCCTAGTGGACTAGTTAACAAAAAAAAAAAAAAAATCACCAGAACACTTCTTTGGATTATTGTGGATTCACGTTCTTACTGATCTTCTCAACGTGGCTCAGTAGCTTCAACAATGCAGATGGATTATATGGGAAAAGATTTCTTCTCTGCAACCTAGAAATAGCTTTTTGCAGTTCTTCCAGACATTTTGTTGATGTGTAAAGCATTGTCCTTAGGGGAATGACGTTATCCAGAGACGCTGTACAAGTCAAACAGGGTAAGGTATTAGATCCCTTTTGTTTCAGAGGCAACACTTCACACTTGAGCGTATTCTGTTTATCATCTGTGTAGCTGCAAACAGTTTCCCTTATCATCACCTTACCCTCATTATTTAAAGGCACCTGCTTTGTGTCTACCAAGCACTCTTTTCCATCTGATTCTAATTCGGAGTCTTCTGAGCTGTCATAATTAACAAGGCTTTGAAGAGAACCCAGCAGAGATGTACTATCAGTGCATATCAATGAGTTAGACTGGTTAGACTCAACAACTTCATTATCACCTTGCTCTGTTGTAAACACTAAGTAGCTGTGAGAAGCAGCCAAAGCTACAAGAGTCTGTGGTTCTGGTTCACAACAAGCATTTTGCAAACTCTCAACAGTCATACAGCTTTGTTTTTCTTGCTTGACAGAAGAAATTGATTGAAAAGTGCCATCCTTGGTATCAAAACCGTTACAGACATCTACAAACTGATGCCAGTCTTTGCTCAGAAGCTTTAAGTACCTTACCAAGTACTCCAGAAAGCAAGTTTCTGATGAAATCAGAAAATCTAGAAGTACTGTGGAATCAAATGCGATTTTTTCTAGAAAAAATAAAAAGATACAGTGAGGATTATATGCACTTGCATGTGTAAGGAAGTTCCAGGTTTCCTCTTCTTTTTGGCTTAAGTTATCAGCAGCATCATGCCGTAACCTGAAAAGTAAGTCATAAAATGGATTAAATTCAAAGGAAGTTTACAGGGTTTTTTTTAAAAAAACAGGTATGTCCAGAAAATGGCATTCCTGCTCTGTTTTGATTTTGTCAAAAAATAAAAACCAAAAAAGAAGTTTTTACATTAGAATGAGAAAGAACGAAGGCAGGTGGGGCTAGGAGACTGGACAGTGTAGGAAGTCAAAGCACTTAAAGCAGGCCTTCTTAAACAGCACTCCTCCTTAGGAAACATTCTGGAATAAACAAAGTTACTTACAATACAGGAATTGTTATTTTAATATTTTTGTAAACCTGAACATAGATTAACTTTCAGGATGCTAAGCACATTGGAAAAGAGCGGCCTACTTGTATTTAGGTGTCTAAGAAGAATTGTGTATATCTAAGATACTACTTGCAATATCTTCACATTGAAAGCTTGAGGGAGCTTTTATAAATTAGAATATCTTGTATGGTAATTTAAACAACAATGAAGCAGTGGATGTCCAGGACAAATTAATGAAGAACACATTTCAGTTGTTAGCAATCACAGTTTTTATCAACTAGCTAGAATTAACATGGTCCAATCCTTAGGAGGGCTACTTTGCTGCAAGTCCCTGAATTCATGAAGTTTAATTATAATATCCCATTCTTGCCAAACTCTCGGTGTTGAAAGAAAACAGTCTTGCTTTTTATCTGTGTCTAACCACTACTTTAAATAGTGAAGTCAATTATTCTGAGTTACAGGATATGATAATACTTAATAGGAGCTGTTGCACAACTCCCTCATTTCAGTCCAAAAAACACTTAATCAAATTATCAGCAAAGTTCACTGCTCTTACACCACATATTACTACATTGTCCTGAGGTTTGTTTCTTGGTTTTGTTATAAAAATATTTTTTCTTTATGCCAAAGTAATCAATGGAAATGTTATGTATATCACAATAACTTCACTAAATTACAATTCTTCATAGCTCTGTCAAATAAAATGTACACTAACCTATCAAATTTTAAATAGATGAGTAATAAAGCTTTAGCAGCTTCCCACATATCATCATCTTGCTCTATGAAAATCAAGGAGACCCATTCACAGTGATGTACAACTGGGTGAAACTGTAGGGAAGCCTTCAGATGACTCCTCCAGAATAACAACAGCTGGGACATGGAACTCTGAAAGTCTCCTGAAAAAAAGAAGTAACCATGAATTTTGTTATACGTTTTTTGTTACTAAACATCATACACTTTTTATTTTTTAAATTAACAGTGTGTAACAGTTCATGAACGCATTTATCATTCCTTAGCTCAACTGATGTAACACAGCATCAAATTTTATAGATTAGTTCTTGCTTCTTGGTACCAAAGAAATCAAGAAATATTTTGCAAAAAAACATAAGCAGTTATCTTACCTTAATTTCAACGTAAATGGCTACTCTATTATAAACTCTAAACATACTAATGTTTAGATGCCAATGTTAACAATTATAAGTAACCTGCAGAAAATTAATTTACTCATTAGGTACCGCACCCCCAACCCCCTGACAGATAAAGCTTAAGGACACAATTTATTCATCTAAACAGCATTCTTCATCTCCTCAGAGTTCAAGGAAGAATAATCAGAGGTGACCTAGAAAGGTTTGGGTACAACAGGGTGAATCCTTTCACACCTAAGCTTGCAGACTAATGAACAAGATTACACCTCCAAATATTTGCATGTATCAGGAAACCTACAAAAATGTGACTATACTCACACAGCTGGGATTTATACTTTCCTTTAGCTCCCCAATTAGGTAGCTTCATCAGTACATCACAAACTAAAGAAAGGTGAATTATAATGAAGTCAATGCCACAGATGTATGAGCACTTTGATAAGACTGAAGCAAACCCTCCCCAGTGTGATTCACTGTAGAAATTAACTGCAGTGATCTAAAGATGATGGGAATAAATTATCATTTCTACAGTATGAAGTATACTAGTAGTATACTTGTAGTATAGCCATATTCTTTATAAAATAAATTCTGCATGGATGATGTAGGTTTTCAAGTACATACAGGATAAAGGTACATTCATGACACAGTCTAAAAATCCTTGCTGGAATGATTAATGTAAGCAGTATTTTTCCTGCAAATCTTTGTTTTTCCCCTCCCTCTAAACACTGCACTGACATTTTAGTTCAGTAGCTTATTCATAAAAATAACTTTGTATTCATATGACAAACTCTTTCCCTTAAGTCAAGAAACTTACCTCTTCAATACTATTACATACTATAGTATGTACCATGTACATGTACTATGTAGTATGTATTACACAGTATGGTACTAGGTACCAGTTTTTTATGTAACAAGGCATACATTCAATGTTCAGAAAACAGAGAAAAATATAGTTACATATATCTTTACCCCAAAGGTACTCCTTAAGTAAGAACTCTAATGCTGCTGGAAGTACACTATGGCTTGAAAAGCACAGTTGCATCATTTATATAAACAATGACTACTGCTTTTGAAAAATCTCCTGCAACATGGGAATCAATTTTACTTACCACATCATTATGTGGTTTTCCTTAATATTTGACTTTAAGATTTGCTTTTCCTCTTAGCAAATAATAGGAACAGCAAATTGTCTTTGTTATTAATAGTTACTATTTGGACTGAAATTCTTACCTATAAATCAAAGCTATCTGGAAATTACTCTCAAAATTGAAATGAATTAAAGTTAAGCCGCTGTAATTCATGTTAATAAAAAAAGATAAGATCAACCAGTTTCCCGGCAAGGAAGTTAGCATATTAAAGCATTTTGGTGCTTGTTTTAACCACTTAATTTAATGTCACTAAAATAGAAGCACCATTCCTTTCAACTTGCAATTCCTCTTGACAGTTGGATCTGTATTTGAATCTAATTAAAGAACTCGGTTTTTTGTCATGAATCTGGGAAAGAAAGGAGAATTTTTTCTTTGAGAAAGAATTTTCATAGAGACAACCAAAACAGATTTAACCTACATTTCTTCTGTTCACTTGTTCTTACACAATCTCAGTCTCTGTACATTTTTCAGACAGTGGATCATAAGTAAAATATTCTCTATAATACTTAAAAAAAACTCTAAGAATGCAACTGGCATCACAAATATAACATCTTCCAAAACCTGGAAAAAGTGTCAGAAACTGTTTTACATAAGTCTGTAGCTCTTTTGCACAGTCAGATGAATTAAAAGTTGATTTTATGCTTGCTACGTAAGGTAGAAATATAAAAAGTAAAACAGTATTTACATCTAGAACTTGTGTTAAAATCCCTCAATAGATTTAAAATGCTATAAAATTTCATCCTTGTTTAAAGTAAAAATTATTTTTTACTTTTTTTGCCACATCACCAATTGGCTGACAATAAGGAACACCCATTCTCGCTTGTATTTGAATAGAAACACTGCTCAGAACTGCCTTTCCATTTTTGCTGTGAAGCCTGTAATCCAGGGACAGCAAGCTGCTTTGATCTTAGGATTCGCACATCCACATTCACACAGCTTAGCATCAGAAGATGTGCATCATGTGCCTCTCAGAGGTAAAAAGGCAAGTGGGAAGATGGGATTCCAGGAGTGTGTCTCAGGCAAAAAGCCTCACCCCACCACTTCATTATAGCATGGGAGAAGACTACTAACTAGCTACCAGCTTGACACAGCAATGCATCCTCTCCCATCAGGAACACAAGTTTTACAGCATTCCCTTGCCATCCCACTGCCTGCCTTGTGGCATAGCCCTAGCACAACAACCAGATCTGCTCTTCTGCTAATCTAATTAATCTGTTCAGTGGAACAAACGTAGTCAAGTAAGCAGGTATTACATGTATGCCTCACACCTACTAATTCAAAGGATAGACCTATAAGTCAGGGTGAAAAACACAACTACTATACTCTGCCAAGTCCCATAATTTTCCTGTCTCTTACTTTATAGCTTCATTATTTTCACCTTTTCTACCACTGCTGGTTTTGCCCTATTACATTATCTGTCTGACAGTGATGCCTAGTACCTTCAACCAAAAGATCTACCTCCACATTAGAAAACAGGAAAGCATTACCTGCAGTTCCTTTCAGTTCCCCACCCTCAACAGAGTAGATGCTTGTGCTATAGGCCCTCTTCTTTTCCAACTGGAGAAGAGCCTGGTGTTCCCAAGCCAGCTCAACTATTTCAAATATTAACACGTGTTCTTAACAGGAAGAGTTCTCAATCCCAAATGCAGCTGTTTCAAGCCCCCCATATCACAGGGCTGAGGATAGGATAAAATACAACGAGACAACTAATTAGGCAGGAAACAGTGATAGCAAGTTTCCTGGGACAGTATTCTCTTTCTTCCCTCCCACCACCACTAATTCAGCTGAATTCTATTTACAATCTTAATGAGCTGTGACTACAAAACCTGAAAGTTCTAAAACTCTTGCTCAGCAAACAAAACTAAAAAAAGATTATTACCTTTGATTTCAGCTTCTGTAGCAGAGTTCTGAAACTTGAATTCCAGTGCTTTAAGCACAACCAGACTTAAGGCTCTGAGAACAGTTTGGTCACTACCACCTTGAGTACCATCTCCAGGAACAGTCTCACTGCCTCCAAAGTAGCTGGCCTTTTCACTGAGTGGGATCTGATTAAGCCAAGCCAAATTCACAACCTGCAGAACAGCATTACTCAGGGCAAGCATATCCTCATATAAAGATGGGTTTTGTAAGAACAGTGATCCACTTTTAGCATCTTCTCTAGACTTGTAAAGGACACATTTTTTAAGGAGCATAATTAACTTCTTCTTGATTAAATAGTGAATTGATGAGCTAATGAGTGTCAGGATGTAAGAAACTTTCAAAAACAATACTCTCTGGCATCTGAGCGGTAGTTCTAATTCAATTCTGGAAGCCAAAAGTGCTTCAAGCAGATCTATAAAACTGATCAAATTGTTTGCAGCTTCAGAATAAGGTGAAGTGTAGTGGTGACTGTCAAAATGATGGAACAGAATGGAATTATAAAATCCTTCAAGCACAGCATCAAGAGGAGCCAACAACTTCTTCAAAATACCTAGAGCAACAAGAAGAACATTAAGGAGTTGTAGTGTAACACAGCTAAATCGTCAAAGAAGCAGAAAACAGATGATTGTGACTATTCTCAGTTTTTAAGCATGCTTAAACCACTACATTTTTAAGAGTACTTTGTCACTCTCTTTATAACAAAGAAAATAGGTGTTCTTTAGACAAGCTGCTCCAGATGAGATTAAAAGGAACATTCCTCCCCCTAGTGGGCACTCGTGTATTGAGAACTTCATAAAATTGCTACAGTACCTGCTTTGGTTAAAACTTCATCTTTCAGCATGTCCTTGATAATAGTTGTAAGAGTCCACAGACATTCTGCTACCTGGGTATTCACAGGGAATCCTGAAAGAGTCTTCAAACTAAAGGTGAGCCAGGTGACATTTAATGCGTTCTAAGAAAATTTGTTCAAAAAACAATCATGTATGCTTTACAATTGCTATGCACATTAAATTAAATCATAATACAATGATTGAAAATTGTACATTAAAAAGATTCAAATGTAGGCATAGACAAAACACAGGTAGAAACTATATATCTGTCCAGTGCCTTTAAGTATATAGTATTTACAAACATGAAGTCACATATGCATGCAATAGAAATGACCTGTATTTTCCAGAAAGGGAAAAACAAACCTCCTAATGTTATGTGACATCCCCAAAATCAGATAATACTGTAGACAGACTATATCTGAAATCATAATTCCCAAATAACTTTGCAAGAAATTTTACAAATATATTTCCGAGAAAAATCTAGTTCAGAGATGCTACTATGGAGGCTACAACATATATTCACCAAATATATAGCAAGTAAAAAAAAAACCTCAAGTAACTAGAATATTCAAACAAGAAAATACAGAACAGCATTTGATTAACTTTCAATAGGTTATTACCTATTTTTATCTACTGCATCACCTAACATATCAAGTAACTGTAAAAATATTGATAGTCTAGATTATTGTTTTTTTGAAATACATGTATTGCAACCTTAAACACAATATTTCTTGCCATCTAGACACATTTTGCCTTAAAATAGTTTCATAGAATTCCAGATTTTTACATACAAAGACATTCCACCTTGCATTACAAACTTCTGCTACACATCTGATCTCCTTTCTTTCTATACTACATGCCCCTCCTAACACACTTGAAATACTCCTGTGGAATATATTTATTACATATCCACCACTTACAACCCAAAGCCCCTTAAGACACACTTTATGGGAGAACTATCACACAGTATTATCTTGTATAACCTTCATGTTGTTCCTGATACTGGAGCCAAGCATACTTCAGCAAAACTGTGTGGAGTTTTGTGGAGACTAACAAGAGTCTGTATGCTGAACATCAGTAGACTGCAGATGTGCCTTGCAGAAAGCTACAGTAGAGTAGACACACAGGCAACAGATAGAGGAAAGGAGCATGTTGCTCTGTGGGTCTACTTATGAAAGGAGCCTCTTTATGAGCACTGTAAAATCTAAAAGTACTTCTACAGTGACTGCTTTCGTGCCACAGAAACACTATAAAATCTTTGCTCTAGAGTTAAGTGGAACAACTTGAAGGCACATATTCACTAAGTCATTTTTTTAAGCTGTGAAAAGTTATGCCATACTCACCTCTTCCTTCAGCTGGAAATACACAAGAGATGCTAAACTTTTTGAAGCCATGTGAGATAACAGCTGATCATAACTACCAAGCAGACAAATCTGCAGACATGTAGAAAGAAAATATATCTAAGGTATGTTCCTCCTCCCACCCCTCACAAAAATCTTTCAGAAGTTTATAAAACCTTACCAATTTTGAGTCAATTTTTGCCTCCTTCAGAAGAAGGGCAAAGATCTCACAGTACTTCTGTCTTGTACTGAATTCAATTTCCTGGGACTCTGCTTTAGCAACCATCATCTTGATCAAGGTTAACTGAAGAAGCATTACTTCTCGTGGACAGAATGAGGAGTTCACGTTTGCAAAGCTATTTGATGTATCATCTGTTGTAGGGACAACCAAATTCGACATATCAGCGTCCTGATGGCTCCTCATACCACCATTAGTAGATGGCAGATGCATCCGATTACATGATTCATCTCTTCCTGGTGACTGCTCAACACACAGATTAAGTAAAGAGATATAATGATGGCTTTCCTTTGCTAGCGGAATGCCTACCAGTATGTCCTTATACATCTGCTGCAGAAGAGAGATCTTCATTATGAGAACACTCAATATTCCAGAAAATGCCGTATGTCTTCACTGATGATTCATGGTCGCTGCAAATCAGCTTTGAAGTTATTTTTATCCAGTAAGAGAAAGAGAAGCACTATTAGGCATTTCTCTTCTATGTTACCTAGAAATAAATATTTTGCTATTACTGAACTTAACAAATAACTAGAAAGATACAAAAGAACACATGTTTTTAGAGTTAATATTACCATTATTAAACTTATTTTGTAAATACAAATTCACTGTTTAAAAACAGTAAGAGTGGTAGTTGCACAAAACCATCCCAGTGAGACATTAAAATGATACAAGATTTACCATGCCATGAAGAAGTTTACAGTTCCAGTATTATACTACTGACAACAACATTAATTTGCTGGAACTAACAAAACCGAAGATGACTATTACTAGGGACTATTTCTGAAAGCTATGGGAACTTGGATCAAATCTTTCTCTACAGTGCTAAAACTACTAAAATCTCATTTCTTTTGTGACAGATTCCTCCAAAAACAGGCACAAAGTTTCAACTGCAAATTTTCATCTGAACTGGCAATGTTCATTGCTCCACTAAGGCTGGATATGGCAACACTTCTCAAAAAAAATAGAAAGCAAAGGACAAGTCTTGTCTTCCGCTGTACATAGGCTCAAGGTGAGTAGCATGAGTATACAGGAGGAGAAAACCGAGCTCTTAATTTTGTAAGGAGGACCAAAGAATTCCTTTACATCTACATGTGCAGAACTCATTCTGATGACCTACATCTTGAAACCCAAAACAGGTTTTCAGATAACGCAAAGGACCAACAATGCCACAGAGCTGGTCAAAGGCCCAGTGACTGAGAAGTTTAAAATTACAAAATACTTAAAAAAAAAAAGTGTAAAACTTATTAAAAGCCAATAAAAATACCTAACCATATTTAGGAAAGGAATAAAAAAAAATATCTTTATCACCATGTCAATGGAACATATTTTTCCATTACAACACTGGAACATTCATTATAGCTTAAAAAGAAGAACTATTAAAAATTCAAATATCTCTTTAAAGTGTGAGCACCCACAATTTTCTAACTGTTATGTAAAAGGCTAGACAGATATGGTATCTCCCCAGAAAACAAAAAGGATATACTTAAGAACATTACGGTTTCTTTTTCACCTATATTAAGAGTGATGCTAGTCTCTAATATTTATCTTTTTAGGACAGTTTTAACATGTTCTCTAACCAGAACTCTTTTTAATAAAAAAACCCGAGCTCATTACCTTTATGTACTGTGAACTTAGGAGTGGGACTTACGTTGTTTACAGGAATTTTCTTTTTGCATGCTTTTTGGATCCCCATCTTTAAGTCTGGCATAATCAACCAGGTAGACTTCCAGGCAGATTCCTGAAGCCATCTGTCTGCAGTTGGCTTTTATTTAAATGTTACATTTCCCCTTTCTTACCAACGGAAGAAAAGAGCTCAGTCTTCCAACTGGTAAGAAATTCTAAGGATCTTCCCATCTATGTATCAATTATACCTGCACTTATCATGACACCAAATATTTGAAATTAATATTGCTTTTTAGCAGAATATTAGAAAACAATGGAACTATAAAATTCAGTATGTGAGGCATTTTTGGTTTAGTTTATAATCCTCACAAGTTTTTAAAACACTGTCAAACATTGAGAATTACACCTTCATTTTTAACTGCAACTGAAGTATACATTGACAAAATGGCTTCCCAAAGGTACAAAGGATTAGAGGTAGACCAAGATATGCTACCCAGATGTAGGGTTCGGCGTTGGAAAGATCTCACGATGTCACGGAAAGTTAGAGGGTTAGTCGCAGCCTTATGATGTGTCTGTAATCCCGCCTACCCTTGTTAGTATAAAAGGAATTGACTGCACAATAAAAGGCGGAAGTTGGCGCTCACGCTGTGTGTGTTATCTGTCTCTTTCCCTGGTCCGGGCCGACCAGTGATCTAATCGCGGCACCTTCATATGTGGTGAACGCTACACCCAGACTCCTCACTTCTTCCACCATCCGGCAGTATTTCCGTCAGAAGCGAATCTAAAATTAGAGAATAAGAAGTTGCCTGCAGGGAGTGATCTACAATTCACTCTGGTCTGGTATTTTTAAAGACACATTCAGCAATGGCTGACCTGACAACTCCAAAATGTTATAGTATGTTCCTCACCTAACCCTCACCTGACAAAGCTAAGAACCCTTCCCCCTTCCTTTCCCATATTCCACATTTTAGACGTTAAGAATAAATCTGATATTTCAGACAATAAATTCTTTCTCCGTTTACAGACTCTATTTGCAATTCTACTTGAGGTGGAAATTTATGACCTGAAACCTTGTAAAATTTCTTCAGAAATCATTCTGAATATTTTATATAGCTATTGTTCCTATCTTTGAGTTTTATTTCTTCCTAAATGAATACCTAATAAAGTAAAATTATCTCAACACATTTACTTCTGTGTTCAAGATCAACCTGAATTATTGTCCTACATGGTAAATGAACAGACCCCTCCTGCACAAATTCATAAGATACAGCAAGGTTGTTAAGGCAGAAGAGATTTAGAACTCCTCTAGGACATGCACTGTGAGATTTTACCTTCACCACATGATACTGGTTGTGCTTTCCCTGATTCTATCATAATACATTTATATTACACCATTAATCTGCAGAACACTTTCCAAAAACATCTGTAAGATATGTCTCACTCACACATGACAACAGTTCATGAACAGAAGTCATTAAAAGAAATGAAATGCAAGGGGGCTTATTTTGAAGAAATTTACGTCAAAGAGGGGGAGAATGTCAGACAACGACTAAATTTACTTCAGTCATGGTAAGAGAGCAGTGAAAAGCTTAAAGCTGAAAAGTAAAGAAAAGCAATCACATTCATACACAAGAAATGACAAACTCCAGACCTTACTTGTATTATTTATTTGAGTTATTCATGACAGCATCTAAAAACCAATTAAGGTAACGCCTCACAGTGCCAGACTCCTGCATAAACAATAGGAAACAGTTCTAAAAGCTTTATATATAAACTGATCAGGCAAAAGACAGAAAGGAAAACTATACAGAAAAAAACCAAATAAATATTTTGTTACGTGTTATTTTCATGACTACTTTAGTTAGACTTTAAAATCAGAACCAAAGTCACGCAGCGCTGCAAAGGACATGAGAGAAGAAACTTGATGGAAAAGGAAACAAAGAACTGGAGATGAAAACTCAGAAGGCAGCTGAAGCCTGTAAGGTTTAAGGACCATCATAAACCAAGCAAGTGAAGCTTAAGTGGTTGCAAATGCCTTCAGAATATCCTAAATCAGAGTTATAAAATATGTATATTTCTACAAGGTGTGATATGTAATTCAGCACAAAGTCACAGCAAGCATTGATTTGACCGGACTAACATTGTTGGTATCACATTTTACTTTTTTTTTTACTAACACAAATGGTTTATGATGACACACAATTACTCAGAGATATTAGTGAAGAGGCCTGATTACAGAAAGCTATTGTCAAGTCCCTATGTCTTTCCCTGTTACATATACACTATTAAATATTAATTGCATGAGTAGCAACTGGGAGAAAAAAAAACCTATCCCAAACACCCTATTTTCATTAAAAAATTAAATCAGATGAAGCAAAATAAAACCACAGTCCCTGACTTTTGGGTATGACTCTGTAGGCTCCAGATCTCCTTACAACGCAATGGTTGAATCATTTAAGAAATAAAATGTACTTTGGACTACTTGTACCTGCAATGACTTTGTAGGCTCATCTCTCAATAAAGAATATGCTTCCGCCCAGTGCTGAAATACTGTAAACGTCTCTAAAATAATGTCATTTCCTCCCAGAGGTTGCAAATAACCTCTGCTGCGAGCTGTCCAATCCCTGACGTTAACTTTGATACCTAAGCATGCCAGATGCTTTATCTGCTCTTCGGCAAGCATCTTTAGCCACTAGAGACAAGACTAGACGGACCCGATCCGACCTCACTGGCCACTTATGGTACCTCTCACACTGGCCTTTCAGAAGTGCAAGCACTGGGCTGCTGGTAGGAAGACCCGCGACACTCCGCCCTGACAGAAGGACGTATGTAATCACTGCCCCAAAACCAGCCGGCGCGCAGAGCCCCGCGCCGCCGCCCCCCCTCGGCCTGCAGGCCCCCCTCCCCCTCACTCTCCTCCAGAAGGCCCCGTCAGCTTCCAC